AAGTTTGTGTAAGGGTATGACACAATAATATGAATATTGATGGATCAGCCGAAGAAGGACAATCAATTGGGGGGAAGAAACCATATAGGATTTTGAGCAACTAAAGAAAGCCATGACTACCATGCCAGTATTAGCACTTCTTGACTTTAGTGGACCATTTGTGGTGGAGACATGCATCAAGATATGGACTAGGCGCAACACTCGTGTAGGATCATCGACCCATTACTTATTTCAGCCAGATACTCATGACTAGGGTGAGGCTCAAGTCTATATACGAGCGGGGGTTGATGTCGATTGTCTTAGCCATCCAAAAGTGGCAATCTTTTTCGTTGGGGCGACACTTTATTGTTAGGAAAGATAAGAGGAGTATGAAGTTTCTACTGGAGCAAAGGATGATTATTGAGGAGCATTAGAGGTGATTATCCAAGATACTTGGATATGATTTTGAGATCCAATATCGCCTAGAACTGGAGAACAAGGCCACAGATGCACAATTGAGAAAGGCAGATGAGCCATATTTGACAGCTCTATCATACTTATGGTCCTAGATTCGGAAGCCCTGAGACACGAGAGCGAACAGGATGAAGGTCTAAGTAAGATTAGAGCTGAGTAGTTGTTGGACCCAGTCAATTATCTTGGTTACACACTGAGAGGGCCCGTTTGCTATATTAGGATGATTCATCTTACCAAGGACATTAGGGCACATTCCAACCTGCTGCGATAAAAAACCTACTGCCGGTTGTCTGCAAAGTGATAATGGGTAGGGATGCAACAAGATGTAGAGGACTGGGTGATGAGATGTGATGCGTGCTAGCGGCACAAGTACTCGGCCATGACACTAGAGGATTACTACATACTCTAGCTCTATCGGAGAGAGTGTGGGAGGAGGTGACGATGGACTTCATCGAGGGATTACTATGTTTGGAGGGATTTTTTGTGATACTGGTAGTAGCAGTAGATCGTCTGAGCAAGTATTCATATTTATCCCTCTGAAGCACCCTTACACCGTGTTCTCTTTGGCTATTGCTTTCATACAGGAGATGGTGTGCTTACATTGATTTCCATAATCTATTGTGGCAGATAGAGACAATGTATTCCTAAATTATTTTTGGAAGGAGCCGTTTCGTTTATTTGGGGCAGTCCTGAAGATGAGCACGACACACCATCCTCATATAGATGGCCAGACAGAGGTTGCTAATAGAATCATGGAGACCTATTTGTGATGCTTTGATTCAGATATGCCGAAGAGTTGGGCAAAGTGGATTGCTTGGGTTGAGTATTGATACAACACTTCGTACCATTCAGTAGCACAGATCACCCCTTTTAGGATTCTTTATGGGAGAGATCTATCTCATTTGATATATAATGGGCATATAACTACACCAACATCCAATGTAGATCAGTACTTAGAGGAGAGGGATAAGATATTAGCAGAGCTTAAGGGATATCTGTTGAGAGCTCAGCAGATCTTGAAGATAATGGTTGATGAGTACAGGAGAGAAGTAACTTTGAGCCACGAGACATGGTTTAGTTGAAGCTGATACCCTACCAATAGAAGACACTAGCCAGGAGGAGGAATGAAAAATTTTCCCCACAATACTTTGGGCCTTATGAGGTTTTGGAGCGCATTGTAGCAATGGCCTATCAATTGGGATTACCATCTTCATCAGCATTGCACCCAATATTTTAGGTCTCACAGCTTAAATAGGATAGGAGATCATACACCGTCTTCACTACTCTTGATTTTGACAGAAGACATGGAGATCATTTTGGAACTTCTAGGAGTAGAAGGGGTGCGCTAAGGGGAAACGAGAGCACATAAGGTACTAATCAAGTCGAAGGATTTGCCAGAGTATGAAGCCACATGGGAGCCATGCGAGATGATCAGGAGACACTTCCCATCCTTCCACCTTGAGGACAAGGTGTGTCTTTGGGGTAGAGTATTGATACAACAAGGGGGCCACCTGGCCAGCCTAGTGATCGGCCGGTCCCTAGCCGAACTAACCCTTTGGCTTGGTGGAACTAGAGGTAGTAGAGGGGGAAATTTCAACCCCTCTTGTGGGGCCTAGGGGAGTTATTATTCATTTTGTAAGGAGGAGGAATCAAGGGGGAGCTTTTAGGAATGTTTCGTAATTGTATTTATGCTATTTAGGAATGTTTTAATTATTTAGGAATGTTTCCTAATTGTGTTTATGCTATTTAGAAAGGTTTCAATTGTGTTTATTATGTGTGAGGAGTATTTAAAGGGGAGTTTTGTCCAGGATTATCATCATATATGTGCTGAGTTTATTTACTAGGGTTTGGTTTGAGTTTCCTAGTGGGGGCTAGAGTTTATGGGAGAGCCGATCTACCTCTCAAATAGTAGATCAATTGTAACTTTCATTATTGTTGAAGAAGTAATAAAAATCAGGCCCCATATTTGTATTCTTGTATTTTTTTTCAACCTCTATTTTGCTGTTCTTACTTCCAAGACGCATCAGGTTTTTTTATGGTTTAAATTCCTATGTGGTCTCCCGACTATTTGTACATGGCTAATTTAGTCCCGTAGTATCACATTTCTCTAATGTAGTTTCTCGTTCATACAAAATTGATCTAAAATGATCCCTTATGGACTAAATTAGGATCAGTTTTTTATAGTCAATGGACTAACATGGGATTAATTTCCTATCACAATTTCTACATGAGAGAACTTTTAGAATCGATTTTATATAGTCAAGGAATTAAATTAGAGAAATATAGTATGCTAAGAATGAATTGGCCACATATGACTAGTCATAGGATTGTTTTGAGATTTAATATGATTTTTTCTCTACTTTACTTGTCTTATTTCACTAGTTCCTCTTTTCATGACTAATGAGAGTTGGAGCTGGCTTGAAGTAACTCAATTATTGGTGTGCATGGTTATATCAAAATTGATTGTGGGGAATGTTGTAGTCGGAGGATAGAAAACAGCAAAACACATTGCACTGGGGTTCGTCTATCTTAAGGAAAATTTGTCAAGCTACATGCCTCCCTCCAAACCACCTCTAAACTTAATTATATTAATTTTTATTATGTTAAAGTGGGTGGAAAGGTATATAAGAAGTCCAATGGCCTCTTGTATGCATGTGTTGATGATTTGGAGTGAGGAATGGCATCTTAGGAGATGACAAACCACACATAACATCTTGGCACACAACGAACACTGGTTGAAGTTTAATTTTAGTGTCTATTAGGCAACCACAAAGGCTCGTAGTATGCATCAGATGGTGGAGAAGAATGAATATTTAGCAGTGCTTTCAAAGCATTAAATGCAGTTCAATGCACAATATTTTTTTTTATTCAATTTGCAGAGTGATGCGACACTTATGAAATAGAGCATTTGTGGCTTGTTCATCCCATATGCATGTATTAAGTGTATACATTAGTCATTTAAATAACTAATCTTAAACAACATAAGATAATAAATTTTTTATCAAATATAATGATATATTTAATAACAATAATTTTCAACTATCTAAAAAAAACTCAAATGATAAAATGATGAAAGAATGCTTAAAAAGTAAGAATACTTGTGAGATTGAGCGACCAAATAACGATCAAGAGGTGGAGGTAGAGTGAAGCGAGAAAGTGTGAATATGATGCATCAAGAAGCGTTCTTGAGAAGCCTGAGTAAGAAGTTGCAAATGTTTGTACTAGTTATTGCAGCAAATGCTAAACCAAATCATAAAATTTAGACCAAGATTTTGTTATGAGATTGAGCAGACACATAACTCTGCAATTCGATGTGGCAAAGTTTTGTGATGCACAGGCATTGTTGGGAGCTTGCACTTCCCTTGCAAGAGAGGCACAAAGCCAGAACATTGGTTCACTTCACCGCTAAAATGTGTTTTGAAGCACCCTTTTAATAACACAAATATTTGGTTAATACACATAGTAGTCGAGCAGTAAGAAAGAGATGGAGAGAAAAGGAAGAGCAAGTGTGGCTGTGAGATCTATTAATTCTTTCATGTCTCTCTTTATCTCCCCTTTTAACAAAAACTGCAGTGATTTTTATTTAACTACATTTATGGTGCTTCAAAATTTGTGGAAATATGGCCTCTTTGAGATCCAGGCTTTGTTTATGATTCATGTTGGTTTATGGGTGTGTTTTTTGGGGACCGAATGAGTAACAATTCACTTGGCTGTCAAGAAAGAGCACAATTTGTATGCTGGAAAGATATGGTTGAGGTGTTTTGGACAATTAAAGGATAACGGATGATTCTTCTTTGTGTTTTTTTGATGGAAAATCTTAATTAAGATGTGAAGAGGGCTCACATGAGGTTAGCTGAAAAGGAACATATAGTGACAGAATGCTTAGTACAGTGCCTGAGAGAAGGACAAATATTCACCTGGGGTACTCGTCTATATTTTTTCAGGTAGCTTTAGTCATCCAGTTTGCTAAATTATTCTTTGTATGCGAACAAGTAAAAAACATGAGAAAAGAAGAGGGTAGACTAAAATAACATGGTAAATACATTTGCACAAAAGAAACTTTACGTAGCACTTAATATGAATGAATGAAGATTGAGCATTCATATAACCGACCAAAAAATAGTAGCGAAAAGGGCAATGATGATGTGATTGTATGTTGAAGGATATATAATCCTGATCTCAAATAGTTGGGACAAGCCAATGACTAGCAAATTTGTGGCTAGATAGGTGAAGCTAGACTTTGAAAATTCATATGATGCCCGACTGTTTTTTTAAATTAAAAAATCAAATCTGAAAATTTTTAATAGTTAATGATGCCATGACGGTTAATAAACTTGAAGCCAGAGTCTGAAACAGCTACATGCCTATTTCTGTGCCACCATAAAGGATTTTTCATTATAAATGCTTTCACAAGTTGATATAAGCGCTTGATTTATAGTTTCGTTCTTCATGCATTTGTTGGTTCAATTAAGCTGTTGATTATATCTCATTAATTACTTCTATGAATATTTATTTATTTTTCAGTAATGCTCTGCAAATCCTTGTAGGTGGCTGTCTGCGACTTTAGTGGACTTCTATGTTAATGTTGTTGCTATTGCTGTAAGTCTGAAAACTCAATTTTTTTCCTCGTCTTCCTCAAATTCTTCCCTTTACGCTTGAATATATTACTTGCCACATAGCATTTTTATATGCTTTAGTACATTAAAAAAAAAAAAGAGACATTCACAAGTTTCATGTTATTTAAGCCATAGAAGAGGCTGACTCGTTTGGAAAACGGTCACTTTTATTTCTTACTCAAGGGCTAAAACATTCATTTTAATAACGTTTTATTGTCATGGTGACCATCATCAACTGTCTCATCCAAGATATCTTTCTTGGGTTTATGTGTCCTCATATGCCATTATTGCAATTAAGCACAATATTTTATGTTGACTATTGATCAGCTAAATCTCTTTGGACGACTTCTAAACATTGTTGCTTTTAATTATCTGTTAAATTCCGCTCTTTTCAAGTAACAAGAAAACATAAAAACATAGTTTGCATTTTTATGGAGATAGGGTATCCTACATAGCAGCTGTAGGTCAGTAGTATCTGGGTATTTTGTTTTGTAAATTGGGGCCATGCTATATTGGAACCATCATTTGCTTGCATTAAACGGGCTATACTCCCTGCACCTCATTGTCCGCTTTGGCAGAGTTGTAGTTTTTAGGTGCATAAGATCTTGTAGGTAAAAGTATTTCTTGGTTAATATGTTACAGAACACTGTGGTATCCTAAGTCTCCTTGGCTTGGACCTTAGGTAAATACAATCAATGTAAAGATAAATTGGAGATTGGAGAGCCCTCAATTTGATCAATAAAATTCTGTCTGCTAGAATAAGAAAAAGCACTTCTGAATTGATCTTATCCCTTAGAATGATATTCTAATGAAAAGAATCAAAAATTCTCTTTGTTCAGCAATAACTTAATCCTTCAATAAAATACTCGTTATATTCATAAATAGAAAGAATTGGGCATTAGTTAATGAATAATGATAAGAATTCCCATATGCATATGCAATGTTTAAAATTGCGTAATCGGGTATTGAGGCGTTTTTCGTTCGTGAGGCGAGGCGTAAGCCTCAAGGCGTTTTGAGGCGTAAGCTTCAAAATCAAAAGATTGCGTAAACATAAAATGATAAATTTTTTATGTACTAATGAGTAAAAAATATAAAACATAAAAATGCACAAGATATAAAGTGAAATCAAAATATCCCAATAATAAGGCAATATGAAATATAGTTCAACTCAAATTATATCTTTCCCAAATCACAGTATATCAAACTCCTAAACATAATGTTTCACTTATTCTACATTAAGAAAATTTATACAAAGCATGCACTCATGAAGAAGTAGACTAACACTAACAACTATTACTAAAGATGATGAATACGACAATATGCCGGACAACCAGGGGTCTAAGGGAGTGCTGCCCCTTGGTGGGGTTCGACCTGTACCTAGCGGTACCGAGCATGTACCGAGTGGTATCGAACATGTACCTAGTGGTACCGAGCATGTATCGAGTGGTATCGAACATGTACCTAGTGGTACCGAGCATTGTTGTACCGAGCAGTACCGAGCATGTACCTAGTGATACAGAGCGATACCAAGCGGTACGGAGCAGACCGATCGATTGAAGAAACATAGTTTCGGTTCGGAATGACCGAAGATGTACGGGGGTGGGAAACCAAACCGAATAGATATATATTAGGTTGGGTTTTTTTTAAAAATTTTATTAGGAGGACGCCTCTAAAACATGAGGCGAGGCGCGCCTCAATGAACTTGAGGCGTATGCCTCAATGCCAACTCTCATTGCGTAGGCTTTGAGGTTTAAAAGTTTAAAATTTCGCTGAGGCGCGCCTCTTATTGTGCAATTTTGAACCATGTGCATATGTATGAAGAAAGAAATATTTTCCTTATTATTCCCATTTTATTCTTTATTTATTCTATTATTGTATTACATTCTATTTGTCTTGTTCCTGTTCTTCTTTTTGAAAAAAGGAAAGAATTAATTCGTTCTTGATATTCATTTATTTAATCAACGAATAATAGCATACTCTAGATCGAAATTGTGGGGAAGTACTGCTTGATCATTTCTACCAATTTCAAGCCCTTATTATGATTTCTTTTATGCAAAGTTTTATGCAAAAATACCATTTTTTGATTATTCGTTCGCCGGAACCCGAAGTGAAAATTGTTGTAGACAGGAATCCTATAAAAACGTCTTTTGAGGAATGGGTCAGACTCGTCCATTTCTCAAGAACAATAGCTAAGGGTCATGATACTACCACTTGGATCTGGAACCTACATGTTGATGCTCACGGTTTTGATAATCATACTAGTGATCTGGAGGAGTTCTCTCGAAAGTATTTAGTGCTCATTTCGGCCAACTCTCTATTATCTTTCTTTGGCTGAGTGGCATGTACTTCCATGGTGCCCGTTTTTCCAATTATGAAGCATGGCTAAGTGATCCTACTCATATTGCACCCAGTGCCCAAGTAGTTTGGCCAATAGTAGGTCAAGAAATATTGAATGGGGATGTGGGCGGTGGTTTCCGAGGAATACAAATAACCTCCGGTTGTTAGTTGTGACATTTCTAGAATTTTTGATAAAATGGCAGGAAAGTTGGAATCCCTTTTGTGTTTCAGGTATGTTAATGCGTTTTTAGCATTTGTTGTCATTTTCAATCAAGTTTTATGCATTTTATTTTTCATCTTACTTTTCAATTGTTTAATGTCATTCTTTCAATGTATTGTTCCAAGATTATTTATCTGCACAACCTGGTGACCATGGTTTGACTAGTTTATGCAAATCGGTGGTTAGCCATAGCTTGTTCTAGGGAGCTTTATTCAATGCCAGTTCTTTCTTTTAAAAGTCGATGGATTTGAAAATGGTGCTTTTCTTCTTTCTAATTTGTTCATTTGAGAGGTGAATGTTGACATTATTTTCAAGCCCGGTTCAGCCCGAATCGAGCCGATTTGAGCTAAATTCGAGCTTCAGTTTACTCAAATTGATCCTCAATTTAATCAAATTAAATTCAAATAAATTGAATTAACCAAATCGGTCCAAATCAAACCTAATTGAGCCTCGTCGAATCAAATTCGACGCAAATTGGTGATACTAAAATATCCCTAAGTCCCTTATAGAGTTATCGAAATACTTCTTATCAAATCTAATTTTTTTAGAGATATCTAATATTCCTAGAAATTTCTCTTTAGAAGTTGTTAAAATATTTCTATTCATATCAAGTTCTCTAAAGACATCAAATATCTTTAGAAGTTTCTTAAGAAGTTGTCAAAATGCTTCTAAATTTCTTTTCCAAGAGTAACCTAAAACTCTTCCCTTAAGGTGATAGAAAGAAATCCCCATAGCTTTGTAGATCTCGCCTAATCCAAATTTAGGCATTCATTGATCTCTCCCTCCTTCCAAATCATACCCTATTTGATTTGGAAGAATCTTGTTTGGCCATTATTGGTCAACGCCAATATGTGTGGCGTACTTCTATTCATTCACCACACATATTGGGGTTCCTTTTGTTCACATTATTTTCGAGCCTGATTCAACTTGGATTGAGCTGATTTGAACCCAATTGGCCTCAATCGCGCTCGATCAACTCAATCGATTGCCGTCGAGCATTAGTTTACTCAATTTGGATCCTAATTTAATCAAATTAAATCAAATTGATCGAATCAACTCAAATCGGTCCAAATCAAACCCTATTGAGCATCGTCGAACCATATTTGACGCAAATCAGCGCCGATTTGAGCCTAATTTCGCGAAATTTGCTCTATCGCACCCAAATCGACCCAAATTGGTTCGGGTTGAGTCCAATTTGGACCCAATTTCAGCCTAACTTGTCCAATATCAACCCAATTGACCTTTCAGGTCTTGCATCCAAGGGTTGTGATTTATCCCGATTTTTAAATATTGCCGCTGCTTTTCCGTCAAATCATTTGATTTCAGTTGCTGGAGCAGGTTATCTTGCGGTAGAAAATCTAATCAAAGGGAAGATCTCGTTTATTGCATAGAGAGAGTGCGAGCAGGCTTCTTTGATTCTTCTTCCTTCGGGTCAGTATCGTCCCAGAGAGAGAGGCATGAGCGAGGGCAAATTATTAGGTCCGGTCGCCGGACCTAAAAATATGTCCGGACATCCAATTAAAACTTGCCACGTCACCTACGCTTTGACTGCGCTTTAGGTGCACTTTACTTGTGCTTTGACTGCGCTTTACCTGCGCTTTTGACGCGCTAATTTAAAATAATATTTTATTAATATCCGGACCTATCTCCACGTCCGGTGACCGGATGTAATAATTTGCCGTGAGGGAGAGGGGCCATGTTGAGCGACTTCCTTAGTGCGTCCAACCTAGCAGAACGAGAGGAAGAAAAGGATGAGCTTCTCAGTTCTTGTGTGACTTCTTTCGTGTGTTTCTGGCCAAAGAAGAGAAGAAGTGCATACACCGAACCAAGCCAAATCCAATGGCTGAAGTCTCGTGTGTGCATTTCATCTTGTTCGCGCATGTCTGGAGTAGAGAGTAGTGCGGCCAGGGAGGCGATCTGTGCCTGCGCTTGGCAGTTTTGCTTATTCGGGCCATGAGGAAGGGATTAGCCGAGCGGGAGGGTTGGTTCGTTCGTGCGTCTGAAATAATCGAGCAGAGAGGAGCCTTTTGCATCCAGGTGACACCGCCTTCCTCTCCTATTAACTAAAAAGGAATCCTCTCTTTGTTTGCTGCCACTTTTTACTCATTGTAGAAGCTTCATCCTCCCTACAAATCATCTCCGACAACCACTTGATTGAAAGATCAGCACTCGGGAGCAGTCCAAACTGTAGAGACACCAGTTTGGAGTATTTTGGACAGCAAATTTGCCCCATGGAGGGGCTTGGACAGCAGTTTCTTCTTCCTCCTTCCACCATTTTCTTTCCCTTGCAAGGTGAGTGGACTATGATTAGCACCGTGACAACCTAACGAGGTAAAACGCAAAAAAAAAAAAAAAAAAAAAAACCTTAGCAAAATCAAGGTCTCCAAGACTTTTAGTTGTGTGCATGATGCTTCCCATGCCATAGG